AACATGCTGCACTCTCACAAAACTGCACAGGCTGTCTACTAAGGGGACACAGTAAGTGAGACACACATCACTCTCAAACACAACGTCACACCGTCACGATGCAGATGCAAGTAATGAATGAGGAAATGATGCTCGGTGGGAGGGTAGCTCACGTTCACACAAGTAAATCATTCAGCATGCTGGACACTCACATTTAACTTGTTCCTAGGTCTTTACTGTACAGCTCGAAACATTTACTTATACAAATAGTACAGTCTCAAACTGGCATATTCAATAAGCTGAAACCATAGAAAAAATAAAGCTCAAACTCAAATACAAAAATGACGAATAAAAAAGTAAACACAACATTTGTTCCGTCAAAACAAAAAATGTTTCTGGCATTGGTCACAGTGATTTGTTTAATCCAAAGTTTTCAGCGACATACAGTAAAAGAAAAACAAACCTGTGTAAGAACAATAAAGTGAAAATGTATGTCAGGCTTTTCAGACGTATTTCTCCAAGGCCTTTTGAGAATTACCGGTGATCCTACAGGCCTTTCAACGCGAGTCTTCCTACAGGGCTGCTTCTAGGCACAGATGCAGACTCGACTTCTTGACTCCACCTCACACGGAATGCGATGTCAGTCATTCACAGCCGGGATTAGTCTTTCGTCTAAGCCCAGGAAACCAGCCCCAGCCTCTAAGCCTCTCTGTCTCCGAAACCTTTCTTTTTTTTTTTTTTTCCTTGACACAACGTTGAGAAATTGCTCTGCATAGAGAACAGGAGATTATCCTTACATCATCGCTTTCAGTTGGCACATTATGTAAAAATCAGCATGCATGGGCACAATTGAAATGTTTCATGTTTTCTACCATGTGAATCATATATGGTATTTCATGGTAGGAGAACCCCCTACTTCAAGTATTCAGTAGATAAGGACCTGAAAATGGAGGATTCGTACTCCGCCCCCCTGATGGTGAAGTGAGAGGATTTTTGCTCCTCTGTCTGTTTGCATTGTCTTCCCTTTTTGTTTTTTTTAAAACATTTTTTTCAGGACCTTTCTCGTAACATTTGTAAACACAAACACGAAAGTTTCACACAATCTGTTGATTCTTGGTCAGTGACAGGAGCTGTAAAGGTTCACACGTGAAAGCGGACACGCAGGAGGCGACGCGTGGATCGCCTCAGGGTTTTGTGGAAGATGGGGTAGATGGAGAGACATTTATATACAATGATCAACACTTGGCCATATACGTGAGACACACAGGCACCATGAGGGGAGGGAGAGAGGAAGTAGGGGATTGTAACAGTCTAATTCAATTTTTCACTATACTGCAACGATGCGTGTTGGTTTTTCTACTTAATCAGCTGTCACGGTCACGTATATGTCACCACTTCTGTTTACAAGACAACGACGACGACAAAAGAAATGCATCCCGACAGAGTCACTCAAACCTCCACTTGGATGTTAAACGTGATAGTCCTCACTCACAAGTGCAAGTTTCTGCCTGCTGAGAGCAGCAGACATAATCTCATTGCTACTTATGTGAGCTGCAAAATTCAGTCTTTTTTTTCTCTGTTGTTGTTGTCACCACAGGCCAAGTGGCGTTCAACTGAATGTTTTCACATTGAAGAAAGGAATGTAATAATGTCATCTTTTCTAGACGTCTACACAGATTTGGATACACTGTTCTACTTCCCACAAACTGCTCTAAAGCTCTTTTTTTGTCTCTTTTTGGGCTGTCCTGTGTCTTCAGACAGGGAATGTTACTTGCTGCTGAGGGGCTTTTCTCACAATGCACAAATCAGAGGAAAATCACACCACTCAACGCTCTAAATAAAGACATCTCTCTGACCTCCAGCCAGTTAGAAAAATAACCATGAAGAAGAAAACATATATTATCTTGTCAGTTTGAAACGATTTTCTGACCACGTATAGACACACTATAGATTTCTCTCTATATGTATAATATATGCATATCTATCATATATGTGTACAGTTTTTACGAGGCACAGGCCACCTTGTTGAGAAGGAGAAAACAAGTCACTATGTTCAGGGGAGGTCACACAGACTACTGCTGGAAGAGGAGAGTTACGAGGGAAAGGGGAGAAGGAGCATACTGTAGGTCAGAGACTGGGGTGTCACTGGTACAAACAGACCTGCAGGGAAAACATCTATTGAACATCCTCCACTTCGTCGTCTATAATGTATTTATAGTAGCAGTATTTATAGAGGGAGATCACCTCTGTGAGGGTCTTGAAGTGATTGTTGCTCACAAAGCCCCCGAAGGTCAAATCGTATGTACAAAGCAGTCTTTTACAGTTGTTTGTGAAGCCCATTGTGGGATCGAGTCCCTCGACTGTAAAAGGACTAAAAGATGCTCTTGACCAGGTCTTCTGACACCATTTAGTTTGAGCACCAGCAGAAGCACCATTAGTAAAAATTCCTGCAACACGGACGAGGTGCATAGGTGCATAGTCTCGGAAACTCAAAATAATCGGATTCATGAGTAGTTTCTGACCGCTCTCTTGGCCGCTCTGATTGGATGGTTAATTACACTTTGATTGAGGAATTCGACTCAGGATGGGGAAATAAAAATACACTCACTCTATATTGACATCTGCATAGATTGATTATTTTTTTGACTACTTCTGATTAAAATGAGGTAACATGAAGAGAAACACCGTTGGCACCCGCAGCCTTGAGGCTAAAACAAGCCCAAGAACTGGAGGGCCCTGCTCGTGCAGCCAGGGAAACCCCTATGATGCTGCAGGCAAGGCTAAAGGCGTACTACCAGTCAGCTCCAAGCTCTTCCTTTTACCAACAAGAAATGACAACAAAAAAACAAAAATCTGGGGCCAGATGCATAAATCTCTGTGTGGATTTACGACTAAAACTGTGTACGCACACGCATTCTTTTCGTCGCATTTATGAAGCCACGCGTACGCACATTTGTGGTTTATAAATCTCTTTTTCCACACCCACGGCCCACCATAAATAGATATAGAAACACCCTTGAAAATCCCTTTGCATATCGATACTTTCACCAATCGTTAGATCTGTCAATGACAAATACAGTAAAGAAAGTGCAGTTTCACCGACTGTGCCAGAGCAGCCGTTATTACCATAGAGCGTATAAAATAATGGACATAGATACCGTGATGTCACCCACTGGTTTGTGGACTACTGTTTTGATATCACGGCAGTTGCCATCCAGGATTTTTAGAGCCAGAAGTGACCACATGTGGACGAGAGGGTGGAGCTGTGGAGGAGCGAGGGGTGATCTGACTCATAGATTGTAGCAAAGCCCCGTATACAGCCTGTCACTTAGGCTGCCACGCCTCAATAATGCATAACTTGGAGCCTTAGTAAAATGTAAATGGGTGAGTTTTATAAAAATTCACCCCCGCACAGTTGTCACGTATGTTGAGATTAGCTAAAGTGACGAAAACAATTTTTTTGCGCCAGGCTGTAAACGTGTTTATTTCCACTGAGAAGTGTCAATGGGAATTGACTGGCTTTCGGAATCGGCCTCAAGTGGCCATTTGAGGAACTGCAGTTTTTGGCTCTTCGCCTTTGGCTTAATTTTTCAGCCCTCGAGTTTGCTGTTTGATCTTTCCGCACGGCTGTGGATATTTGTATGTCTGAACCTCAGTCTTAATCATCATTATTATTAAATGTCAGAAGGATGATCAGTGATTCATTCACATAGCGCTCATGTTGAAACTGACTTTATAAAGTGCTTTATAACAATAAAATTAAATGATCATTAACAAGGAGATGAATGTAAATTAAAATAATGATGAGTTCATTACTAACCAATAATTTAAATTAACTTTATATACGTGCCTGTGATTGATATTTTGCAGAATGCTGTGCAGCCTGCAAAATAAGACAATCAGTGAAACTAGCAAACAACCTAAAAACATTGTCTCTTAACTTATCTTTAATCTCGTCCTTATCATTTCACCCGCAGCTATCTCAGCTAAAACCACGTGTACGCCTGTCTGAGGAATGCGTGAGCTGGGCTCACTCTCACCGCACATTCTTCCTTTATAAACACCAGTTTATGTGTGCGAAAAGGCGTTCTGTGCACACATATCGTTTCTGCATCTGGCCCCCAGTGTGTGGAAAAAGCAATTCAAGAGTTACTACATCACTTTTAGAAATGCATAACATGAGCCTCTATAGAAATGGAGCGTGTGTGGGGCATGTATAAAGGTAAAAAAGAGGTCACTGTGTGCCACAAAGGGTAAAACAGCTCATCGACACGATCAGATGATTACAACTACAGAAGAGTCATGAGGGTCATGACAGCCAGGCAGAGGGGTCAGATGTCACCGGGTGGGTCAGCAGGGCAGTGAGGATCGAGAAACCATGACAGAGTCAGATGGGGGAGCCAACCAGAGCCAGAGGAGTCAGTCAGGCAGGTGAAACAGACAGCGAGACAACCATCATCTTGAATCAACCACAGGAAGGAGGATGAGGAACGAATACTGGGCTGGCGGACAGTCATGAGATCTCTGTAGGTAGGATCAAGAGGGCGTGGTTGGCCTGAAGAGGTGCAGTGTTCAGCAGGTGACAGACAGGTGAGGTGACCTCCGGGAGACCTCTGAATCAGGGCTGCCATGTTGATCACAGGCCCTGTCCAAGCAAGAATCTGACACAGAGCACATCTGTCCCTCCATCGGCATCAACATCTGTCTATTTCCTTCCGGTTCAGTCCTGTATCTGTGATCCTGTACGGAGGAAGTAGACGATGTCTGCTCCTGTTCACACAAAGAAGGAGGTCCCAGGTCACCTTGAGCAGGAAATGAGGAAGAACACTGTGTAAGTCGCTGTTTGGAAATGTATTAATGTAACTGAATAAATTCATTCTGTGGTTTATTATACATTATGTGTGTCTTGATATGAAATATTTGAAATTACCTGCTCAGCTGTCAGTCTCCCTGCATGACCTGCACACCTGAGCGCCCCCTCCTCTTCCCAGGAAAATAAACAAAGGTCCCATTGCTGAGTGCTGATTGAGTGGAGGTAATTAATGTTTGGTCGGGTAGTGTTTCAACATCATGGCATGGCTGTGCTCCTCCAGTAGTGACTGAATCATCTGAATGTGAGAGAAAAAAAATCGTCACGCAGCCGCTTTTTTTATAATGAAAATACAGCAAACACTGCAGGCAGAGAGGGAAACTGAGAATCATAAAGTCAGAAAGTCTTAAATATATCTCACCCCTCAAAACAACATTAGAACTTTGGTTGTCACAGCAAGGATTATGCCCAAATGCCCTCGTCGTCATCCTGTTAACGGCAGGTCAACAGCAGCAATATGCATAACGAGAGTAGACAGAAAGTAGAGTAAGTGCAGATCAAAAGACATCACTGGGACGGCAGACAGTGTCATAAAAAAATAAGTGTTCACAAGTAAAAGTTCCTCTCCTGGCGTTGATAAAACCCCTCAAAACTCACCTCTGTTCATTAAAATTATATATCTAGAGGTTTTTTCCATGACAGAAAATCTTTCATGCTTAAAAATGAAATAGCTGTAACCCTATATCTTGGCCTTATTTAATATGCGCAGATCTATGAACATGCAAATTGGTCCCCTCCTTTATCTCCACCAGCTGCTCACCTGCAGCTCTACTACGATATTAAACAGCTAATAATGTGTTGCTAATGTTAGAGCCTATTCAGACTTGGTATTAACATGCGTCTTAGGTGATAGGATCACAGGTGGACGGCTCTAAGTCTGTTTACACCTGGCATTAGAACGCATCTCCACGTGTGTCTCTAGTGACCATACGTGATATGATCTCACTTCCCCGCTCTATATGCAAATAAACACATACACATTTGCAAGGATCAAATATGTTGTTTTTAAGTGCTGTGTCTGTGAATGCTGAGAGTTATAGTGAAGCCGATTTGTGTAGTTGTGTTTGAAACTGTCCCTATTAAGCCATGTTTAATGTGTGTTTTGGGTGTGTTTTAAATCAACTATCTTTACAACATACAGAAACCCAGCTGCTGACTAGTGTTTTGGAGGTGTAACTGCAGAGTGACACAGAAAGACCACCGCACAAGTACGAATGCTAACAATGGTGTAGGCTATGTGCGTAGGCTACGGTGTAGGCTCTGCATAGAGCTGACACACAAGTATAAATTCCGCTTAACTGTTAGCACCACAGATCTCAGGTTACCTAACAGCTAATAACAAGTTGTTTTGGCATCAATGTGAGTTTGTTAGGACCGTTTAACAGCTGCTGCTGTGTTAGCTTTTGTTAACCCGGTAGACGTTGAACTAACATTCACCGGGAGGAGAACAGCTAAGGGTATGGTTCTTTAGTTCTGCGTCTACCAGCAGCAGGCAACAGAAAGGGAGTCGGCAAGGGCGTCAGCTGAGTAGGCAGTTCTTTAGTGTGGCCAAGGACACATTAAAGTACACACTGCTAAAAGAATGGGGCCATATGCGGCCAAGAACTCCTTCAAATGTGGTCTGAGCAACTGGATCTCAAGACAAATTGAGGATGCATTGGATGCATAAATAGCTGTACTTAAAGCTGTCCACTTGTGACTGATCACCCAAATCACATGTCAACACCAGGTGTAAAGCCTGTATAGCCTTAGAAAAAACTTGTTCCCAATCGCCAGCACTGACAAGCTGAAGTGAAAGTAAAGCTTAGCTTGCAAAACACCGGGCTTCTTCTCTGATACCTCGCTAGTTAACAGGATTGGTTCCTTAGGTATGTGACATATGAAACCCTGATTGTCAGAAACCCTGTCTTGCATTTCTGAGTCAGAAATGCTCAGCCATGGCGTTGATTGCCTCTTTCAGTCATGATATGCTTTGTAGCTTATAAAAAACACCATATGTAAATGTTGACAAGGTTAAAAACTTGATCTTTCATGTGCTGAGTAGTTGCAATGATGCTTGGCAGCAATTTTACAGGGTTACTTTGATTAGTGAATTACAACACAAATGAAATCTGACCTGGTCCTGGGCAGGGCGGTGACCAGCATGTGGGGGTCCTCGGGCCGGCCCTCCACGATGATGGGGCGATGGGTGACGTGGATGCTGGGCGTGGTGCGGGTGCTGTGGGTGCTGAGGGTGTTGAGGGTGTTGAGGGTGTTGCGGGTGCTGGGGATGTGGATGTTGGAGGTGGGGTCCTTGCTGGGGAGGGCCGTGCGGGTGCTGAGGGTGAGGGTGCTGCGGAGGGGCATGTCCGTGTGGGTGCTGTGGAGGATGCTGTGGGTGCTGTTGGTGGGGGTGTTGGGGCTGTGGGGGGCGTGGGTGCTGTTGGTGCTGGGGAGGCGGTTGGGGGTGCTGGGCGTGCTGCTGGGGGTGCTGTGGGTGCTGAGGGTGAGGGTACTGAGGTTGTGGCTGCTGTGGGTGTGGGTGCTGCTGGGGGGCTTGCGGGTGTTGCGGGTGCTGTGGGTGCTGCGGATGCATGGCGTGTGGATATGGAGTCTGCTGGGCGTGGGGAGCGTGGGGAGCGTGGGGGTACTGCGGCTGGGGCTGTGGCTGAGCGTGTGGGGGCTGTGGCCCGGGGTGGTGAGGACCGTGCGGATGATATTGCTCATCTTCGTAGTTGTCGGCTATCAGCTTCATTCTGCTTTGTGTCTGTGGAAAGAGGAAAGCGGTCAGTGCGTGATGATCTGCAGCTGTTAGAAAGAGACATTATTCCCTCACAATGAACATCAAATGAAATAATGACTGGACAGAGCACATATTTTCAGTATATGTGGGTTGACATAAAAACAACAACACCTTACAGTGTAATACAATCCAGCACAATAACCATGCAAGCAACACTGAGGCTTAAACTTTTTTTCTCTCAGACTTCAGCTGTTGATTCATCTCTGCAGTCATATTAAGGTCACTGTGACTTTGTTTAGAAAATACATTTTGAAAGGAAAAGTTCAAAATTTTGGGATATACGCTCATTCACCGTCTTGCTGAGTTAAAGGTTCTGCGTGCGACATTTAGAGCAGTAATATATCAGCAAAACCACTATTTGCTATGGAAAAATAAAGTGGGGTAACGGCGTCCTGAGCAGAGAATGAAGTCACGCTCCCTCTGTGTGTGTTGTTATCCAAGCTCCTCTGTGGTTTGTTGTGGTAAGCCGGTCGGATGGCGCATGCATATTAACGCTTGTGTGTATCCCATTGGCTAGCTCATCGCAACCAATTCGCCCTCAGTGTTGCCAACTTGGCGACTTTCTCACTAGATTTGCTGATTTTTCTGATCCTCTTTGTGACTTTATTTCTAAAAGGCAACCAGCGACAAAATTAACGACTTATTCAGACAATCAGGGAGATTGAATCAGAGATATATAATTTTGTAATTCAAAATTCAGTTCAGTTGTAGTGAGTTTCTATGGTTAGGTTGACGCTCTCGCTTGTTGGACTGGATGCACCAGGAAGTTGTGCACGAGTGATGCATGGGTCAGAGTGTTTTTAAAACCCAAATAAATCCAGGCCTGTTATGAGAGCCAATCTGCCTTAACTGACCCACAAATATATGTCTTAATCAGTGACCCGAAACCGACCCATAAACCCGCAAACTGGAGCTGAAAGTTTCTGCTAATAAAAATCACTCATTACAGCCTACTTGCTGTTGCTCTACTGCATGTAATTTCCCGTAAATATCACACTGTAAAACATGTGTTTTCTGTCAGAAGACAGCAAGTACTCACTTATCTTATAAGTGGTTACATCTTAAGTGTGATCTCGAGCGCACAGCTGATATCCTGCGTGGTTTGTTTACATAACGTTAGAGAAATGCATATTTAACGGATTCAGTGTGGACAGAGAGGCTCTTGCTTGCTTGCTGTTAGGACACAGTGTTAGACCTACATATATTTTTATCAGACATTACAACCAGAGAGATTTCAACAACCCATATCTGACCGCAACAGATGGAGAACAGAGAGCCTGAGCACATGATAAAGCTGCTTGCTGTGTGAGAGAGTGGCAGAGAAGGAGGAAGAGAAGGTGAACGACTGCACAGTGTTTCTTTAGGTTATTAATAACTGGGTCAGAGTGCTGTTTTGTCACTTAATGACCCACCTGCCCGAAACCTGCATTATTTTCTGACAAGGTTACCCAAACCGCCCGACCTTGCACACATCAGTATGGCACACCATAGCTCTAATGCCATTCACATGTATTGTTGAGGATTTTTCTATTGAATACTTGCATTAATGCGCAAGGACGTCACCAATATGCTATGAAGCGAATTATGTCATTTGGCAACCTTTAGCAACATTTGGAACTTGTGCTAGCTAATGTTGTCCTAAGACAGTTGGCAACACTGTTGGCACTGTGGTCATATGGCGGTTACCTTTGATATTGGGACGGCGGCAGCACGGCAGTGTAGCGTCCATCCTCCAGTAACCCTCTGATTAACACTGTTAGCTGTGTCAGCACCGTTACCGTTGTTTAGCAGTGTTTACGGAGTTAGCGCCTTTAGCTAGCTGCCAGCTCAGCCGCCACCAGGTTTAGAACCATGTCCACACAACTCATACGCTCTGATTTAAGCAGCCCCTTTAAATACGAAGACTGATACCACTCTGTACACTACATACAAAGCTACAGTCGGCAGCTGATTAGCTTAGCTTAGCATAATGACTGCAAACGGGAAAACAGCTAGTATGACTCTGTCCAAAGGTGACAAAATCCACATCCAGCATCTCTAAAGCTCAATAATTAACATCTTATATTGGTATGAAGTGACTTCCTGCCTCTCTGCTGTTTCAGCGGCTTTATGCTAAGCAAAGAAAACTGTCTCCTGTAGTTTATTTACTGTATAGATGTGAGACTGGTGTAGTTCAACTCATCTAACTCTAAAGTAAGCGTATTTCCCAAAATGTTGAACTGGTCCATGTTGATGTGGGTCTACGTATAACCACTCTTTCTCTTTACAAATGCACTTTCCTTTCATTATGTAAAGTTTGTTATCAGGTTCAGGCTGCTATTCAATGTCATGTTAAGTGTAAATTGATTACACAAGCAGCTACACATGTGAGTCATGTCAAATAACAATTAGTAGTATATGTTACATTTTATGGAGGTCTGACAATCAACATCTTCAAAATAATTTCTCAAGGCTGATAGGGCACCTTACAGAGACACAAGAGGCCATACTGTCGCTGCCTGAATTCCTGCTGTATTACTCATACTAGAGCCTTTAATTTCAAGTGAGACTCAAGCCAAAGACTTGAGGCTTGACTTGGCTGCTGCGAGACTTCACTTACTTGAGACTTGACTCCTTGAAGACCTGACATGACTTGAGGCTTGAAAGCAAGAACATTTAAGACTCAAGTTTGGACGTGGTAAACACACCTTGAATATTACATTATCAGGCCTATGCACTGCATGGATTTGACCTCAGCTATACAAATGAGCACAGCTTTGATAGCAAACTATCAAAGCTCAAATGAAATGTCATGTTAATGGCCAGAGAAGAGTTGCAATTGACTTGCAATTTGCAAATGGGAACTTGTAGATTGACTTGGACCTGTGTGGATGACTTGAGACTTGACTTGCCCATAAAAACAGCTCTGACTCATACACATTTGAAATGAGACACACTTGGGGAAAAAAAACTGAGCTAGCAAAGAGGATCAGTGACCATGCGTGTGCACCACCCCCTGTAGATGAAATGGAAAAAATGGCTAGTTGCCTTGTGCAGCAACATTTTTCTTTTTGATTAACGTTGCCTTGGCAACCAGCTACAGAGCAGACAGAAATTTCCTTGACATTGTGCTGCAGTACTAACGTGTTGTTTGAGCTGGTGCATCAGTTTGTCCCGCTCCCTCTTGAGGGCCAGCACCTCCTCCTGGGTCTTCTTTTTATTGGAGGCAGACAGTTCAAGCAGTGCAATATTAGCATCTTTCTCACTGATGGCTGCCAGCAGAGCTTGTTGCCTGAGGAAGAAAAACAACATTATGTCATCAGTACTTATATTCAATAAAAAACAGAAAGAACATTAAAGGTATGTAGGTAGGTACTTAAGATATATAGATCATACTGCATCAGTTTAATTTAACCACTTCAATATCAGATGCTGTTTCAGTGGAGGTTAAACTACTTATGGCTGTGATCCAGCTTCAGGAGCCAGATGATGATCAATGACAAAAGTCAAGTCACTCAAAAATCTGATTGTTCTCCTGCACACGATGGAAGGAAATCAGCCTCACAATTTGAATTCAGAGTTCAGTCAGATTACTTTAAATACAGTCAGTCACCAAATACAAATTACATGGCTTTTTTTCTTATTGGAAACGTAACCTATTGGATTACAGAAACATGTAAGCTAATCTAAGCACTTTTGGAAATTAAACATTAGAAATGCTGCACTATATACTGACAAAGATGGACACAGCCACAAAAATTTGAGTTCCATAAATAAAAAGACTGCTGCTGCCTGAACCCTGCATCTTGATCGAACCTGCGGCTGCTGCAACAAGGACATAACCTTTTGTACATGGGGCATCTGCTCTACCCATTGAGCCACTGGGCGCCCCACATACATTGTTTCTAACCTCAAATGTTTACAAATTTGGTAGATAGTTTGGGGAGAATTTCTGTGTCCACACAAGAAATGAATCCATGTCATAGCCAGAAACACACCAAGAGAAGTGAAATTTTGGGCTGTGGTTGTGAGGCTGACATCAAATGTCATGATGGCACTAACTTCATCTCCAGTATCTCCTCCAGCTGTTTCCTGCGCTCCTGTCTCATGTTGGTTAGGTGGCCGTCCCTCTCCTGCAGTGACTGCTGTGTGGAGGAGAGACGCTGCTTGGTGGAATCCAGCTCCTGCCTCGTCCTCTCCAGCGTGTTCATCAGCTCCTCCAACTGTGTTATAAGGGAGCGCACACCAAATGTATAAATAAGACACAGAGACACAGACCTGTCCAGACATAGTTCATTAATAAAGTGTTAAACCATATTGCAGGTCAATACACATCTAAAACTAATGAAGTCTAATTCAACAGTCCCATAACAGGGGTGGAGCCAGATGCTGTAAACATCCAGGGCTCAGTCCAAACTGAGGGGGATCGGAGGGCATGCTGCCCCAGGGAGAAGCAGCTGTATGCATTATTTTTGAAGCCATTTCAGATAATAGAATACCCCCCAAAAAATCTAACAATTTTAGGAAAAACATGACAATTGCCAAAAAAAATAAAAATCAGTGAAATTCAACTTACTACCTGAGGGCCAAAACAGGCCTGCAATATTGTGCTGGGTGGCCCACCAACAATTCTCTAATTCCCAGGAAAATAAATTGATTCACACTGTGAATGCAATATAGTGCCAGAGTGCATAAAAAGCATCAAAGTAGAGCACATTTAGCAAAAATAAAAATTGGCCAGTGGAGGATCCCCTGGACCCCCTAACAGAGGCTAATTATTTATATACTAATAATTAATGTTTTCTTTATTAACTAGCCCCTGACCTCCTGTCATTTTGCAAAAGTAGCCTCTGGGCAAAGCAAGTTAAGTATGCCAGGACAACATCCTATTTTGTATGTAATTGTTCTCCAACTGTCTTCATCATTGTGAAAGCATAACACAACAAATGTTGAGGATGACTAATTTTCACTCCTGCCACCCATAAAGAGACAAAAATTGTGTGTTGTTACTATTTATAAGTTACATAACATAGCTAGGGTGGGAATTCAGTGTAAATAGCATCACTGATCTTGAAACCTATTTTTGTTCTACAACGCTAGAGTAGAGTTTACCTGCCAAATGTGCTACTTTTGATCCCATGCCATAATAATCTGGGCTGCTCTAACTGCAAACAAAGATCCCCAACAATGCCAAGTAAATTTGGTTTTCAATACTCAGAACTGAATATTAGGCCAACGGAAGAACACTGACTCAGTTATATTAGATTTCTTTAGGGAACAGCATAGATTTAGGACTTGTCAGAAAACATTCAGGGCTGGAACCCCAAAAGCTGCCCCTCTCCACCTCCGTCATACATTCAATCCTACCTTATAACTAACTGACAACTGTGTTTTTCCGCACCTTTAAGTGGTGGCCACTGTCCATGGAGGTGTCCTTACGAGAATCCTTCTTGTCCCCTTGAGGTCCCAGTTTGATGTTCGGCCCCTTCTTAGTTGAGTCTTTGCCTCCTTGTCTGTAAAACCATAGAAATATTAAAAGCATTTCCATGCCAATCATTTTTATGAACTCTACTCTGTTTGTTGCTGTACCATGAAATCTTTTGGAAATGCTTGATAGTTTTTATTTATACTGTTTATATTCCTTTGATCTAATGGATTTAATTGCCATTACTTCCACTGTGCTCTTGGTTTTTGGTCCTATTCTCACTTCATCTGCCTTGTTTGACTTTATTTTTTTTCCCCAGAAAAAGCACTTTGTAACAGTGTAAATAACATTTATTACTACTATTACTATTATAAAGAAATGCAAAACACATTCTTGAGGAAATAGTGTTACACAAGAAATAAGTGGAAGTGTGAGTAGAGCACAATATATTCCCATTAATCACAATACAAAACACGGAACACAAACAAAGTACAACTGCAGTGTAATGGAAAATCATGTTAGGAGCATTTTGAATGAACCTTTTTTTCAAAATGGTACCAGTCATGAGATCACCAAGACAGCAACAACAAGGCATGAGGACCACAGATGAACTGATAGCTTCATGTTGACATGACACTGCTGTGATGACTCAAAGGTTTCAAGCACCAGAGGTAGGGTAGATATAGGTAGAGATGGATTCTCGTGGGGGGGGAGGGGCATTACTTACCTGGGCGCTAGACTGCAGATGGGGAGAGGAGGAGGTGGAAGAGAAGGGGATGATGGGACAAGTAGAGGAGATATTGGAAGCAGCAGATGAGAGCACACAAAGGAAAAAGTAAAAATAAGAGACATTAGAACCAGAACATAAAGAAACAACCACAAAAAAACTAATAAAGAGCACCCAGAGGAGATCACAGTGTGTTCATTGTCAAACAACATGGGAGATCACAGAGGCGCCTGTGACATCCGCTGCTCTGCAGCCTGACGTAGCTAATGCAGGATGCACCTTCTCTGAAAACATGGAACCATGTGCATCTGCTGCCAAGCCTGTGAGTGGCAGACATGCAGTCAGACAGGCAAAAGTCAGCGGGGCAAAAGAAGGATAGGTCTGAGTGCCGAGCAAAAGGAGGGTAAGCCGACAGTGGTTTGACCGAGAGGAGTGAGCCAGTGATAGAATTAGTTATGGATGCAGGGTTGGTCAGACAGGAGAGACTCGACTGGACTGACACACGTCAAGATAGAGGGTTCAGTCCAGACCCTACCTACTACAGCACCTCACTCACAGAGCGCGTGTAGACCTGGAGCACAGCAGCTCTATTCATGCAGGCCACTAGGCTGATCATTTCCCTTAGTGTCTGGTAGAGCAAGCTAGGCAGGGCGGGGTGGGGGCAGGGTGGGAGGGAGAGCAGGAAGGTGGGCACCAGGAAAGACCACTAGAAGAGAGAGGGGCTGTCAGGTGATGTTACTGGGAGGATTAGAAGGTGAGAGTTACAGAGGGTGAGGGTGAGGTACAGTAGGGTGAGGTGGGCAGATGGGTGGATGGAATGAGCAAGGGAAGCGTGCTCATGGCAGGAGGAGGCCTCAGCTTCAAGGACAAAAACTTCCTACATAAAACTGAACAAAGAGCTAACACCACAAAACTGCACAAAAAAAGTGTGTGAAAATATCTCAATACAGGACACTGGGGGACAAAAAGTATAGTCAACTAAAATGGATGAAAAAGCAAGAGCAGGTGGGGAAATCACAACAAGAAAACTGCTTCTAATGCAAAATATGGTGTAGTATTTACAGTACTACTACTACATATCTAACACCAGTATAAAGTTACATCTACTGTTCAGGAAATCAAAGGAACACCACAGAATACATAAGCACCTGGACTTAATTGCAAATTTATGATCTGAAGCTTTGTGGAAGTGGAAATAGACAAATTTTCTGCTTCAATTTATGATATAAATTTTAATTGCACAATGTAATGTCTGCAGAATAAAGACACCATCAGCATTTATATTAGACACTATGCATCAGTCTACCGCTGGGTATGATGTACTGAGAAAATGAAGACTTGATTTACAGCACAAAGGAAGTGCATCGACCACTGCACATCTAAAACAGGAAGAGCTTTTGTTTTCCCTGATTGCTGAGTGAACTCAAGTTCCCTTCATAGACTGAAAATAATGCATGTAGCCATGTCACCAATTGGTTTGTGGACTCAAGTTTTGCATTTTGGCCGTTGCCATCTTGAATTAGGAGCCAGTAGTGACCATATTTGGACAGAGCCATTGTACAGGTGTTGGAAAATTAACTTGATAACCTCTGTGCCACATCAGTTTCCAACAGGATATCAGGAACTCTAATATCTTTTGAATCACAGAAACTTGGCTCAACACGAGACCATTAAACCAAGTGACACTTTTCTATATGTCGATCTGACGGACCAGAGGACTCTGGCGAGAGAAGGAGAGGAGCCAAGAGCTTTACACTGAATAGAGACTGGTGTGACAGTAGGAATGTGAGGTACTGTCCTGCTGTGGATCACTGCTATATGCCGTTCAGAGGCAGCTGCAAAGGGGCGCTGCCCATGCTTGGGAGGAGCCACCATGCCATCAGAACTAGAAGAAGACGTTGAAAAGTTGTCTGTTTCCACTTTAAACTTGTTTTGAATTTTATGTTAACCCTGATCATTTTAAGCCACATGTGCAATTAATTATCCTCTATGACGTGGTGCTTGAATTTGCTGATCTGTAAGGTGACTTTTCTACAACAAAATCTTTGTTGACTTCATTCCCCATTCTGTCATTAGTGCAGACATTAATGGCTTTTAATGCCACATGCGGATTTAAAAAATAAACATGCAGCATAAACTCTCTCTCTCACTCACACACAGACACACACTCTTACAGTCCAATCAAAAACACATAATACTGAGCAAACACATGCTAAAGAAATAAAAGCTAACGTGAATCCAGTGATCTTTGTATCATGTGTATGGTTACAACAACAACACCACCACAGACTAATAACAGAGCCCGTCACTGTGATACAAAGATATGTGAATCCTTCAGACAGCAGGCAGACCCAGGCACACGGGTGAAACCAGATGCAGTTGCAGCAGTCGCAGTCGGAGACTTTAACCACGCAGCCGAGCTGAAGTGCCAGGGCAGAGCACTCACTTTCCCAGGAAATCCCACACCATGCCCCCTATCTGCTGGGGGGCAGCAGACACAGAAGGGAGCGGGTCAGGGGGAGCTCTGCCACCGGGACGAGGGGTGGGGCGAGGAGCAGAGGGAGGGGGGCTGGTGTCGGAGGGGGGGGGCACAACAAAAAAAGAGTTGCGTGGGAAATGGTGGAGAGGTTTCAAAAACAGAATCGGATTCAGGAAAGAATTTGGGAAAAAGGAGGTTGGAGATCGAAGGTGGAAATGATTAATGGCAGAAGGTGAAGAGAAAGACAGGTGGGCATGAAACAGAAGATAGAAAGGGGAAAGAGGCAGAAAAAAAGTGGGTAAAAATGGCAAAAAAGGGACAAGAACAATTAATCAAACACCACTAAAAAATTAGCATGACACAGAAACAAAATGGCCCCTGCTACAAGCTGGTGGGAAGAAAAAATATATTTTAATGCTAAGTGGTGGGACCGGGACTCTTAAGCGTCAGGGGCGAGGGGCTGTCACTGGCAGACAGTGCTCATGTGTCGTTCTCATGCAGTCCATCCAAACTTTATGTCATCAGTATAAATTCCCGTCCAGGTGAACGACGATGGTCTCCTCCATCAGCCGCACCACAGCCAAAAGCTGCTTTCAGCGTGGAAGCTCTGAACCGCATACCGCACTGAGAGGTGAGCCAAGAGCTGATGAGGCCACCAGCTTTATTTATGTGGTCCATTAGCTGAAATCAGTTTGACCTCCTCCATTAAGGGGGTGACTGAGTGGCACTTTGTGTTCTAATTTCACATCTAACATAGCATCACAACTTTTACAAAGAGCCTCCTGTGTGTATCTCAGCATGCAGCTGGGACTAGTGTGCATCCAAAAGTGTATTTCTGAGTGCAGTGTACACGTCCACGACTGGATCCAGAGCAAGACACTGTGCTGACATAAACTCAAGACGTCACACTTGTACACAACCATGAAAGTACATCATACAAAGACACATAGAAGTTCACTTACAACATGAAGAACATAGAAGAGGGCACTTTAAAGTTGGCAAAGTACTATTTACTATTTGAACTTTGAAAGCTGAAATTCCAGGGGGAGCATAAATTGCTCATAGACTTAGAGGACAAACAGTAATATAATTTACCGTTTGTACTGTGCCTTGTACCACCTTGAACCTTGAACCATTGTATCTAGACATGATTCAACCTGATTACATTTACACCTGGTATAGACAGTGTCCATATTGAGATCCAAACGTAGTGCAAACGGGCCCTGTTTTTAAAAATTACCACTACATACGGTGCACATCATGATGTTGTCTGCATCTTCAGAGCCAATATTGGTGCAAAAATAAAACAAATATTAAAAAAAAATCTTTTGCTGGTCTAAGGCTTTCTTTGTCATATACGTCTGAGCCAGTCAGGAAGATTTTGAAGGCAACAGTGAGGTCGACAAGGATGAAACAGACAGTGATCAACAGGAAGTACAGATTACAGATGAGAGAGACACCGCAGTAGTGTTAGCATCAGATCAGAGAGAGACCACGTCCCAGCAGCTTTAGCATCAAGTGACAGATAGCCACTGCTGCTGTCTCACTCTTTGGGAACAGTCACGTTGGATTACGTATTTCCACCTATGATATTGTTTTTTATGTGACCTGAAAAACACACTTGCATTTACACTTGTGAGTCTACACCTGTACTTTAATGTGGTCAAGCACTATCAGATTGCAATCCGATCACCCAAAACGCATTTTAATTCAAGGTGTAAAAGGGGGCAGAGTGATAACAACAGCTCTTCTTCCAATCAAATTTGAATGAACTTATTGTAAGGCACTCTTAAAGAAACAGCACACTGAACTGAACACAAAAGGCACAAAGGAAAAAAAGAATGATAGGTATACTGTATCTTAAAGTTCAGTTTTCGACTGATACTCTTTCAGCTAACTCAGCCATAATATATCAGCTATAATATATACTCATTATTTCTATGTAACTATAACGGTAGCTGACAATATACTGTACGATGTGAGGAAAAAAAGTGAGCACTTACATTAGTATAAACTGAAGGTTAAGATGTCTTAATGTACTTCAACTTGTCTGGAAAGTCAGAGCGAATTACCTTTCCAACTCAGCGATCTTCTTGTCCTTGTCATTCTTTTCGGTCTCCACCTCTCGCAGGATGTCCAGGAGTCTCTCCACCTCCGTCTGAGCCTTGTTGGCCTCGTCCTTGTAGTAGCTCACCTCCTTCTCCAGCAGCTTCACCCTGTCCACGTACTCCGGGTTCCCCCTGGGGCCGGACTGCTGCTCCACCTCATGGGCCTTCTGCATCCACACATGCCAGGGGAAGACACAAACAAACAAACAAACATGCACACATGCACACACCCGAAGATACACTCAGTTAACATTATGACATCAACACGACCATGCAGCACAGAATGTTTTACTGCCCATGGAAGAGAGATACATACAGCACATTGCAGTCCATCAGTGTCTCATGTTAACTACTCCCCCTGCTCTCTCTTTCTCTTTCTGAATGACTAAAGCAAAGTACAATGTTGTGGACAAGGGCATCATTACTGGTGCTGGCTCATTAGCTTTAACAGAGCTATTTATTTAGCTCTATTTAACGGCCCTCTGAGACTCCCAGTCACTCCGCACACTTGGTGAGTATGCAGAATACAGGACTGTGTATGTGTGTTTGTGCAGCACTTTAACAATCAAAAACAAATTAGTGGCAGTGAGATGCTAAATCATGACCCTGTCTCTGTGGTTATCTGTCACAAACTAATCAGAGCTCTCCTTACTGGTCAATATGGACTAATCTCACTGTTATTGCAACAGTTTGTAACTCTCCATGAAGTACATTACAGTGGTAGACATCACCCTTGAGACAATATGCAGCCACACATGTCAACACAGGTCGCAAAAAGTGCAAGAGTCAGACAGAGCCAGAGAGCATCCATCAAAAACACTGCAGTGATCTCCAACCACGGCCGAAACCTCAGCTAACCGCACCACACTGAGACGAGAGGAAAGCGTGGCAACACTGACAGTGACAACATGCAACAAGGTCGACCAGTTCATGCAAACCCAACGAAGCTGCACAGTCTTTGTGATTGTCAGTCAAAAGAATGGAGGAACAGAAGCAACAGGGACCAAGTAACTCTGTCGGCTGACAGGAAGTTTCATATTTTAAGCATGAGGAGCGATGTTGGGATTTAATCTGTGGGAGATTTTTTCTCAGTGATCCACTCACCAATGTATATTAAAAACACTTTGTCAAAAATAACTTCAATGGACAATGAAATTAGGCTCAATTCAGCCCGTGGCATTACAAGTGGATTTCGGTCTATGTATTATGCTAAAGATGGGTTTTAATGATGCATTTCAGAGTTGTAGGTAATCCACTTCATAATGGCTCTCTCCTATTTCATCTTCCTGATTTCATTCTGTGTTAATCTATCCTCTGTTTCTTAAATGTACTGTATTTGTGTATGACAGCATTGTGGAAAATTAATTACCTGAAAATAAACAACATGTTTTACACCTGCAATTTTACAGAGTTCCATAAAGATGTGTTTCAGTAATAAAAGTGAAAAAATATCAAATGTTGGTATCAGCTTGAAAAATCAATATCAGAGCATCCCTTGAAACTTTTTAAAGGTATACTATGCAGGATTTTCCTAAAAACAATGTATGGACTCATATTGAAGTAATCCCTCTCAATCATCACTTGTGACCCACTAGAATTATGTGGCGTGTATTTATCTACAGAGACTCTGCCCTCTGCCTGTATTTTCTACTTTCTTCTTCTCCTTCATTTTGCTGGGTTTGGGATGTTTCTGGTAGCGAATGGACCAATATACAGCATTCATCTAAGAGGAATCTACAAAAATTGTGGAAACAGCTCTAAAAAAAAATGCAAATATAGCAAGGCAAAATGTCAAGCGGACAAAACTTGTTCCAAAACAAAAGTGAATCTGGGGTTGGCTTTCACTTTCACTGGCGAGCACTGAAGGACAGGATGAAGGGCAACATTGAGTTGGCCTGTTTTCTAGTTGGAGCCACGCCTCGTTTTCAAACTGTATGGTTTGACTAAAATGAACAATGACAGCAATATAGTCCACGATGACCAGCGCTAAAATCGACCTGCATAGTTGTCCCTCCATTGTGACATTAGAAAGTGTCACATTTATCTTGCAAGTGTACTCTTCTTCAACGTTTTGTTTATTCCCTGGATTTTCCCGCATGGATATTCTGACCAATCAAGAGCAGATTTGTTGCAAAGGCATTTTTATCTGGTCCAACTGTAAATGCTGCCGTGAGAACACGAACCAACTCCAAGCAATTATGCAGCTTTGTAACAAAATTAGTCACTGATACAGACCAAAACAAGAGAACTCTAGGTCTGAAAGCACCCTTGGTTAGCGCGTGACAAAAAATATAATGTTCCTACAACAGCACAGTAGCTAGCAGTGTACATATAAGCAGTATAGAAAGGAGAGGCCAAGTATGAATGTTGCGTTTAAAAACAATAACCAACAATTCCTACATAGTATACCTTTAAAATAAACAGTTAAATCTTCTTCCATTATTTTTTATCAGTAAAACAGTAGTAGAATGTAAACACAACACACGTTTTAATCCAGTTGGTTCAGCTGTAACAAACATACAGCCCGGTCTTGCAGAATTGTTACAGGCGATTATGATGATGGGAATTGGGTTTTAAAAGTCCGATTGTTGACTTTTCTGCATAGCAATGTAATCTTGATGTATTTAAGAAGCTATTTTTTCCCCAGGCCTATGAAGATTTAGGAAACTTTGTCTTATATTAAATTCTTGCGATGAAAATAAGTGTGTAGAGCTTTTTTTTCACTTATGTGCAAGAAAAGAGAAAACTGTGTTGAAAACTGTTAAACAAACTAGTCACAGATTGACCAACTACAGAGCCACAATTTAAAAACTTGAGAATATAGAGATATGCTGTGTAATTCTACCTGACCAAATTACTTAAAACACTGTATGTGTAGCACCAGTTTCACCACAAACACAAACAGTTGCAGAATGAGTACGTCACACAGGACTCTGAGTGCAGTAAAGCTCATTATATCAGTACAGTGCGATGAGCAACATGCATCTGGGTGGCTCGGTGGGTGAAAGCAAAACCTGTGCTGGGGGGGACTGGCATGATCATCATCTAGCATGTTTCAAAGAAGTTCTCAGTGGTCCTCATGCTTTCAATATGTGCCTCAGAGAGCTCAAGAGAGGGACTTACAGGATTGTTCATGTGACTGAATAGCTGCTCAGCTTGCTACATTGCAAACGGAGGGGTTGAGGAAGGGAGTGGGGCGGGAGAGCAAGTGTTAGGATTTCGTTTGAGCCAGAGGAGAGAACAGCAGGATCAGACATGTTACAAATCATGTTTGACAGAGCAGTAACATAGTCTCAGTACAATACATGTTGTTACAGGTCAAGGGCAACACATCACGGACAAATGTGGAGGAACAGACACGGGGATAGTCTGTGGATTATGGAGGAGGCGGAGGAGGGGTATTTAATGGACTGTCTGCTCCCTGCAGCAGACTAACAAAGCAGTGCAGCCCGTTACAGGAGAGGAAGCATGATGGGAGCCATTATCCTAATTAACTGTGTTTTATATAAGGCAGGTTCACGTTTCTGGTTCAGTCCGGATTGCAGTGATACTAACAGAACAGGAATTAGCTTAACGAAGGATTACAGGGTTTCATAGTTTCACCTTGTTGTATATTAAGGCAAAAAGTGTGTTCTGTTGAGAAGTTTGAAATTAGTCATTCAGAATTATCCTCCATTAAAATAACACAGTGTAAGGCCTTAGCTGGAGAAATATATGAGCATGGAAAGGAAAAACTATTTCAATTCTAAGAGCAAAAACAATATTCATAGTTTATAAGGTACTTAATAGTCTCCATCCAAGTGGTCCCATGACTCACAGTTAGCTAATTCTTTTCTTCACAGTGGACACACAGGCTTTGTTTTTTTTAAATCTGCAGTTCACTGCAATTAATGAGGGACATCTCTCCAGTCCTCATTCAGGGCAGAGAAGCTCTCCACAGTTCAGCCAAAGTTCACATTTATCATAAAGAATTCAAATGTTGTGGTGACAGTGAAGATATTTTCTTTCATGTTTGAAATGCATAATAATAACTGAATAATGCTTTCAATTTAGTTTGTTTCTATTCTGTTGTATTTGTTAATTCTGTACTTCTGCAGCCACAGGGTAGAGTTATAGGGCATAACTATTAAGTAGATATTGTAAAGACCCAAGCCAGACAAGTTGATACACTAAGTCTTCTCTGCGTTTTTGATTAGATGTATGTGGACTGGATTTTGGCCTGATGGCCTAGAAGACGGTTCATTCTTTCACTGCCTTTTAAGATGCCTCAACATCTTTAAAAAACCTGGGAAGGGTCATACAAACTATATCTGATATTATCTCTGCTGAGTTGCCTGTCTGCCCTCGGGCATTTATCCATGGACTACTTCCACCTGGATTAAGACTGTCAGGTGCAAATATAAAGATAATCACTTCAGGCTTAATAGTGTACTTCAACTGCTAGAAAGGTACTGAGACTGCTGTGGTATCATGTTTGCTTTACTGAACTGTGGAGGGTTTTTTAGCCCTGAATTAGGACTGAAGATGTTTCGCTTTTTAACCGCGACAAATATGTTGATAGATTGATAAAGCTTTGAGTCCAGTATATCAAAACTGAGGGATGAAACATACTATATAACTGTTGTGTGGTAACTAGGGACAAACTTAAAAAAAACTCTTAATAAGTTAAGCACAATTTGTGAACTAGTTACATCTAATTATAAAATATAAATCTAGGTTCAAAATGACCTGTTTCATAAAATCAAACCGACACATTAGCCTGATGAGTGACTCAGCACAGTGAAATGCACACCTACCTTCTGCAACTGCGTCTCCAACTTACTACACTCCTCTTTTTTCTGCTCGATGGCGATTTCCAGTGACTTGAGCTTTGAATCCTTCTTGAGGCCAGAGGACGCCAGGGATGAAGCATGTTCCTTTAAATCGATGAGACTGGACTGCAGGTGGACAGAGAGCACAGACGGTTAGCACAGGTTCAAACCAGGAGGCCTAACTGGGTCAAAGCACCAGGAGCGACAGCTTAAATGTCAAATGAAGGCCTACTGACAGAAAGAGATACAATATATGCTGCACAGTACAAAGTATTTTGTAGTCTGTACCAACATCAATGAAATTCAGTGATTCTCGATACCCAATTTGATACCACAGTAAAAAAAACAATAAATCCTTTGTACTTAAATAAACACTCCTTTATTAAAAGCATATCCATTAAATTAAATTTAATAAAGATAATTTAATGTAATTTTATAAACAGAAAAACATATATTAATATGTAGCCTACACGATCTTAACATATTACTCCTCCATTGTGGATGGTTGCTCTTTGTGGTAGTCTATCTGTCCTGCTCCCCCTCCACTGTGATTGGACGACTGGGTAAAAAGTAACAGTGACGAGCGCAGCGTTTTACCCAAAGTTGAACATTTTTCAACTCTCGGCGACCAGAACAGACTCCAAACCTGCAGTGCTCAGTGCAGAATAAAAGCACAGTGCCCCACTATGATTGTAGCATAGTGTAAATACGGAGCAATCTCATCGCAAAGAATTTTTTAAAAACACGCTGGCCTTGCGGAAAAGCACTTTTTTATGCTAGTGAGTGTTCTTCTTCCTTTGACATTCAACAACTGACTAAAACATACGTAGGTGCATATGCTGCCCCATTAGGTTCAGAAAAATGCACCGGTATCAAGTATCATCACATTTTAAGAATTTTGGTATCGACTTGGTACCGAAATGTTGGTTCTCATAACAACCCCACACTGTACAGCAGAGTAGCTACACATTATATGCAGCCATGTGGACACACGTCATACATCCTTACACACTGAAGACAGCCTTTATGTCTCATGCATACTCACTGACCTCTTTCTCTGTTAATTCTATCTGCAGGCTGTTGACCTTCTCCTTCAGATCCTTGTTCTCCTTCTTGTAGGACTCCACTTCTTCCAGACGTTCTCTGTCTTCCCTCTCCCTTTGGTCCTTTAAACGCTCTATAATCCTCTCCTAAAACACACACACACATAATTAAAAGAATTACACTTAAAGAATGGTCTAAAGAGTCAACTTAGGAGTTTGAAAAGTCTTTGCTGACTGTGAGCAATGAGACACATTTATCAAATGACTTTCTTGTACATACAGTGAAGTGTAAGAGTAAGCTTTAAGAGCAGCTCTGAAGTGGAACCTTTAAGTTGTGAGAAATGTCATAAACAAAAAGCTTAAATTTGCAAGTGAGAGTAAATGTGAATGGTTATTACTTTTATCTTTGACATAAGGTAAAATCTTGAGAAATACACTTACTAGGTTTCTTACAGAGAGTTAGACGAGAAGATAGATACCAGCCATGTACACAGAGTTCTCATCAAACTCTCGGCAAGAAAGCAAAAAGTCTATTTCCAGAAGACCTAACTTTTCCTTTAAAGGGGCTCTATGTCAGATTCAAAGCATATGAGTTGTCTGGATATGGCTCTCAACATGGAGGCGGCTGAGTCGGCGGCTGGCAGCTAATGGTGCCAACTCAATAAACAGCGATAAACTACAACAACAGTGCTGACAGAGCTATTGGTTTTAACTAGGGGTTAACCAGAGGATGCTACGCGTCTGTGACAACGCCATCCTGATATCTGCGGTAACTGGCTGTGTAAGAGCCATATGAGGGCTGTGCAAAGCAACAGCGATTAGCTAGGCAGTGGGATACACACATGCACTAACATGCATGCCTGGCTGGACCATCTTACCACAACAAACCACAGAGAAGCACAGACTACAGCACACAGAGGTAGCATGACTTCATTCTCTGGTCAGGACGCCAATACTCCTCTATATCTCCACATAGCAGACAGTGGTTTGCTGCTGTATTAATGCTATGAATGCCTTTAAGTCCAAAATAAAAAAATACATGCCCTTTATTGTACCTAATTCATGTCAGGTGCACAGACACCTACTGTATGCTCTCATCAAAATGACCTCCCAAAGTGGTAAAATGATTTAGTCATGCAGCAGCTGTTCACATCCCAAACTGTGAACACTCACTGCATCCATCCTAATGCTACACTGCTGTAGCGTACCTTCTCTGACAGTGCCTCCTCCAGCGTGGCCAGGGCAGTGTCTGTGTTACTGGAGTCGGTCTGCAGAGACTTGACTCTGTCCTTTAGGTTCCCCAGCTGCTTGTCTTTGTCCCGCAACTGCTCCTGCAGGTTCTCAATCTGACACAGGGAGGAGGAGGAGGAGACCAGGAGGATGGTGTTGGCACAGGGGAGGGGGAAAAGCAAGAGAAGCAGGGAGAAGTATTTAAAGTTGGTGTAGCTGGACTTGCAGATTACAGCCTTTGAAGATTAATACACTCACAGACAACGTCATGTTCATAATTTGAAAAGTGCTAAGGCTTTACGACGAAGCATTTTCCATTTCGAGAAACACATCAAAAACTGCCAGACTTTTAAAAACAGTTTGAAAAGTACATTAAGAAGTAGCGGGCAATAACAACCAAACTGCCATCTGTGAGAAAACAGGAATATAGTATTAAGACTAGCGTAAAAAAAAAGGTGGGAATACAAAGCAGAGTAGTTGTGTTTTTACTAGCGTAAAAACACAACTACTCTGAGTCTGTAAAATAGGTGTATTGATGTACTATACTATATTATATGATTGACACAACAGGGAAACAAAACCACAGCCACATCAGTCGAAAACAAAGATTTATAAATCACGAGAGATGACAGAGAGAGATAAAAGTGGATGGATGAGGGAGAGGAGGTGTGATAGAACCAGAGAGGAGAGAAAAAAACAAAGGGAATGGGTGAGAGAGGGAGTAACACTCTGAGAGTATTTATAGCACACACACTCACACACACACACTAGAGCCAGTGAGGCAGAAATATCTTCTTGCTTGTCGTTCTATGGACACTTTCCCCCTGAGAGCAACAGAGACTCTCTCACTCTTAATGGAGAGAGTAACCACTCTGCTTTGTATTTTCACAGAGTGACTGGTTTAGTCCAGGACACGAGAGTCTGACAAAACAACGCGCTCCACTCATCGCTGATTTCATATTTCAAATTATAGCTGGAGTCCACCGACACAGACCTCTGCCCACTCAGCACAGTTTGGTGAAACCAATAAATAATGTAAGCAAAATACTGAAAAAAACAAAAAACATTTGGACATTTTTTTCAACGTTTTCCTCAGTTTGTATTCCCACCTTTTAGCTTTCCTTTCATCTCTTTATACATCCTAAATGGCGAGGTTTTCTTTAACTCTGATTCTCACCTTCTTCTGCAGGACATTGATCTTCCGCTCTTTGACCTCCAGCATGTCCTTCATGTCCCTGATTTCTCCGGCTAGAGTGCCCTTTTCCTCCGTCAGGTCCTGCAGCTGCTTGGTTTTCTTGTTCAGGAAGGACTCTTTCTCCTCTAGCCGCAGACGTAGAGCATCCACCTGAAGCAGCCAGAAACACACATACTGTAGTGAGTCTGAATGAAGTAAACGTGATGATGTCGAAGGATTTGTTAAGATATGGCAACTAGTCTTGAACCCAGTGGACTTCCTTCTACCTAATTAATAATACTGGTATTTAGTACAGCATACCTAGTAATTTGAATGCAATTATTTCACCTGGTGGAGTGTGTGTGTTTTGTTTGTGTTTGTAAGGTCATGACTTTGTGTTTCGTTAAAGGATTGTCAGATAGCGCATGCAAACATGCTCGCCAGCACAAGTAAAAGTAAAAGCCAACCCCAGATTCACTCCTCGTTGTTGTTTCGGAGCTGTGTCTCTTGGATTCCTGCTGCTAAAGGTCTGGCACCTGGTCGCTAGATGTTTATAAAGCCCCGACCTCACCTGAGAACATCACCACACTAATAAACCGGACACAGGAAATGAGAAGAAAATAAGACAATACAGGCAGAGGGCAGAGTCTCTGCAGAAAAGTACACCACCACACACTGAGAGTGGGTCATAAGTGATGACTGAGAGTGATTACTTCTGTATAAGTGGAAAATCCTGCATAGTGCATATTTAAGGTAGTTCTCGAAGTATCTGAAATTGCTGTCAGTAAAACAAATTAAAAAATAAAACAATCTTACATAATGTGGACTTGACTGTGACTGAGTAAAAAGTAAGAATTTATCTGTCTTAACTTAAGCTCCACGCAGCTGCGAAGGAAGACGGGTGCTGAGCGAGTATTTATTAGTGTGGTGATGATCCTCAGTTCACGCACGCACGTCCACAGTTATTTATTTTCCAGTGCAGTTTTTGATGTTTATTAGATGTGCTGTGACAGTACATTGTGCATTACCGTTTCTTTGGCGGTGCTCTGGGTCACAGTTAGTTTGAAGTCCAAAAGTAAATAAAGTGCTGATATGACTTACAGTAATAAGCCCCGGGCTCAGGGCGAGCCTATTATTTGCTCAGTGTGGCTCAGAGTATGAAAATGTTTGTGAGGCAGTGTATTGTTAGGCTGATTTACTGTGTGTGTACACACAAGTTAAGGTTTTTCTTTTTTTTCATTACCTCTGTTTGCAGGATGGCAGCACGTTGCTCCTTGGCAGTGAGAGACTCTTTGAGCACCTCGATATGCTGTTTGCAGTCTGAGTTCTGGTTGTTGAGGGTCTCTAGTTTTGTCTGCAGAGCCAGCAGCTCCGACTCCTTCTTCGACAACTCCTGCTTCAGCTGGTCAATCTACGGACATGTGAAACAACCATTTACATGAGCAATTTAATGTTCTACCATCACAGTGTGTGTGTGTATGTGTGTGTGTGCGCGACAGAGATAAAGAGTGGGAAACCTCTTTTTTCCCAAACAGCAAGCTCCAGTAGTCAGCACGGCTTTTGCACTATTTTCATCAACGCACTCTCTCATTAAAAATGCATTTGGGACTGACTCCCCTGCATTCATCATATATTATACATCATCTCTATTCATGATTGATGAAAAGAGGTCTAAAAATAGAATAACAAAACTGTGGCTGGTGTACGCCTGGTTGACTAACGAGAGGAGCGGTATGTAAACACAGAGTCAAAGCTCCGCAGAGACACATGAGAGCAGTGGACACATACACCGCGGTGCAATCACAGATTTCAGGTAGCTCTGCTGTTGTCATGATGGTGTAGCTCTACTACTTCAACACAAGTTATCAAGTGTGTATGAAGGGTGGGGTGAAAACACTGAGTTGCCTGAAAACAAAAGCAGGTGAAGTCGGTTTAATAAAAACTAATCTATCAGTCTGACTGAGCAGGCTCACTCTTTTAACATAATGTAAATTACAGCTGTCTGTCCCAATCGCTGGCAGCAGAATAATAAAGTAACTAGCTTTAATACATAATTAAGGAAGAAAAGTTAAGTATTTTATCATGCACCGGCATGCACGTGCTGATTTTGCCTTTTTTTGGTGCTCTTGACTCTGAGGTCTTTGAAAAAACCAGCACCTCTCAGATAGGTGCCAACAGGACACTTTGCTGATGACACCAAATGCTAAAGCAGCTAATTTAAGACACACGTCAGCTTTATTTAGTATTCTCCTCTCTGCACAGGTCTATCCACACACTCAGTTGTGTCATATATTCGCAGAATCTGTTTTTCGTGTGTAGTGCAGACGGTATGTACCTTGGTCTTCATAAACTTAGAGTGGTTCTTGTAGACCTCCATCTGTTTGATCTCCTCCTCTCTGTCCTCTGTGTTCAGTAAGCCGTTCGCCTTCAGCATTTGGATCTCATCCTCCAGATCCCGAATGTTGCGCTCCAGAGAGGCAATTTTGGTGTCCTGCACACAAACATGCAGAATAGACACACCTCAAAACCCTGACTGGCATGTCCACAAGTTGCATGCTGCAAATGAACCTGAGCTAGAGACGAGAGTCCAGAACAGACAGAAAGACCGACAAAAACTAAAAAAGGTATAGAGAGACTAAGAGAGTGAGTCAGAAAGAGAGAGATGTAGCGAGATAAAGAGACTGGAAGAAGCTCTTTGGTGTGGCTGAGAGCAACTGCAGTATCTGTCGGTGAAATCAGAAGCTTTCTACCCAGCTCTTTGCAGCGGCTCAGAGGATTAATCACCATTGGGAAATATTGAGCACACATCCAGCACGGAGAGATCAGCCAGGACCGGGGAGAAACGTGCGGAGGGAGAGGAAGAAAAGTAACAAGCCGTAGCTTTTTGCCGTAGTTGCTTGCAGATCAATGCAGGATCCAGTCTCTGGACTGCGACTGTGAGTGCAGCTTTAGCTTCACGGCTTTTTAAATAAATAATACAACGTCTTCAAGATTAGCCATGGTCCATCTCCCTCTCCAACAGAGCATAGAGCAACCTTGTTCCTTCCTGTCTTTCTCTCTTTTTGTGTCCCTCCTTCTTTCCTCCTAGTGGCTCTGAACTTATGAACTTGTGGCCGTTAGCAGGGTCAGTCACAGCCCGCTGCAGAGGAACATGGGAAATGTATCGTAATGAGGAATGATAGACTACCCACGAAGGATCTGAGGGGTTAATGCATGAGCACTACACATGCTCTTCGCCCTGCTGCTGCTGCATCTCACCTCAGTCTCCGTGTTACGAGTCGAACATCAATGAACTAACATCGCTGCAATAGATACAAGACACCGTACCTTCAAAGGAGGGGGAATTTATTCCATCCACAAGTAATCACTGGTACATCGACCTGGTCAGTAAATCTTGTTCTCTATCTCTCTTTCCCTGCCTCTGTGTGTCTCTCTTTCGATCTATCTCCCTGCATACTGGCCTCTCGCTGTCATAAACAACCACACCTGTTTCCATGGTAGCAGCAGGCAGGCTATATACTGTGCACTGTCTCTGGTGAGTGAGGAGGAGAGGGCGGGAGGGATGTAGGGGAGACAGGGAGGGAGGATTATTCGTGCTTCAGCATCAGCATCAACACAGCAGAGGGAAAGAAGCGAGGGGAGAGATGCAGGGTCTTCCTGCACAGCACAGGAGGAGGAGGAGGAGGAGGAGGCGGGTCTTCCCCTCGCTCTGTATGCAAATCAACAGGATCCCAGAGCACAGATGTCACATGACCATGCCAGGGGAAGGCTGGGGCCTGCACAGCGCCGATCCAGCCGAGTGAGAGGGGCTGTGTCAGCTTGGCGATGATGTCATGATTTATTTTGAGGAAGTGATGTCAGGCCTCTGCAGTGAGGCTGGTGGAGTCTACAGCGGTATAACACTTGTTGTACAGTTCAGCAGCACAACAACTGTTGATCTAAATAGACATTTTTATATAAGCATATGTGCGTGTTATTTGCATATTACAGCTGCATCGGTTTTAAAGAAAGCAGTATGGAATAATGTAAAATACCATTTGCTTGAGCTGAAGGCTAAAGGCAGTCACACTTGATGGTGATGGATGGGTGGGGTCTCTAAAACTGCAGTTTATCTTCTTAAATATTTTCTAATATGAATGTTTATCCCAATATTTAAATGGCCCCTGAAGCTTTAAAGTAACATAAATCATTACACACACATTCTTTCTCTTCTGTTATATTTTGAGTAAATCATTCAAGACCTGCAAATCTTTTTAAGACCTGCAGGACCAACATATATCAAAAAGAAAATCCTAATTATATACTGCATTAATTGATACACATTTTGCTATAATTCAGTTTGGCATTTTTGGTCCCTTCAAAAATTCTGAGTGGAAATTTCAAACAAAGCTCTGCAGTTTTAAACAATGCACATCTGCACAAAAATAAGCCGAGATAATGGACGTGCAGTCTGTGTTGTTGAAGAGTTAATTACTGAAATTAAATACGCCATCGTTGCTCACGAAACAAGTGTGATGCAGCTCGGCCCGACTGGCTGCTGCGCGTCTACAGCGAGCCATGACAGCTGTAATGTTGAACAGTAATATTGATTCTTGTTGATGTTTACACAACTGCTTTGTGAGCTGATACACAGTGTGTGTGTGTGTGTGTGTGTGTGTGAGAGAGAGATAGAGAGATGTCAGTGTGTTTACTATTGACTCAGCTGCTGATGATCACAATAACAACAATAGATTCAGTGGAACACACAGCAGCATGAGCCTCTGTTTACACATGCAGCAGTTTACATAATACAGGGCCTGTAAATGTCATGTGACACAAACATATAAATACAACATCTGTCTTTTAACATCTGGTTTTAGGCAGACTCTCCATGATTAGCATGTTTGCTTGTATAGTCAGAGTTAAAAAAAAAACCCAAAACCTTCATATACAAAATGGAGGCTAGATAAGTTGAGTCGTTAATAACTCTATGAGGCATTATTTTGAGGAATAATTAAAGATTTCTTTTTGATAATGGCTGCTGCATGTGGTTGAAGTCAGGCTGTATACTGTGAGTCAGGTTCTTACTTTCATCTCTATGATGGTCTGCAGGGCCTTGGTTTTGCTTGGATCCTGATGCAGCTGATTTCGTCTGTGCAGTTCCTTTTAAGAAAGACACAACATTATGTGGCACCAGCACAGCAGAGCCTGTTCACATCTCTACTGAAGGGATTATAAGACTTAAATAGACTCCCATCAAAAAATGCATAATAATAAAGTCTGTCTTAACACATGTCAAATGTTGAATGCAAATGATGAGCCCTGCAGTTTTCACTTCACACATTACATAACCAATATGCTACAATATGAGCCGCAGAAGAGAGCATATTGATTGTTAGAGACTCGACACTGCCATCTAGTGACAACAAGCTAAAAAAACTTGCATTGTGAGTCCCATATATTTAATGTCAACACAGCCCTTGTCATAGAGTACCTCTCTCAGATGGATGTTCTCCTTCTCCTTTTGATCCAGAATGACCTCCAGGTGTCCGAGCTGGGCCTCTGCCTCAGCGATGCGCCTCGCCCTCTCCTGCTCCTCCTCCTCAGAAGCCCTGCCCGGCCCCGGAGGCAGCCCTTTGCTCTGCAGCATCTCCAGGAGCTTCTTGATGGACTCGTCCCTGGCACCCAGCGTCTGCTTCTGGGTCTCGATCCTCAGCTCCATCTCTTCGAGGGTTTTTCTCAGCAGGAAGAGCTCCTTGGCCTGCCTGTCGTGTTCGGCCTGCAGCCGACGGAAGTTCTCCTCCGTCAGCTCGATGGTGGTGAAGTGGTCGGATGCAGAGCGGTTGCCGCTCTCCTGCTGCAGCAGGTGGTTCAGGTCTCGCTGCGTGCGCAGCTCATCCTGCAGAGCCTGGATGGTCATCTGGAGATGCTGAAAGAGAGACTCGACAATTACAATTATTGAAATTCATTTTAGGAATAGATGCAAATGTTTTTTTTTTAAAATATGACAACACTACACATGAGGGTAACCACATGGGTAAAGACAATCTTCTCAAATGCTGTTGGACACAGTTCTGTGGAAAAATGCTACAGCAGGTGAAACAGGGGAACAAATCACTTACCATAGACTGTGTACACATATATGTATAGTAAATATATATAGTGAAAAGACAATCTGGCTTATTTGAGGAAAAATATGAGGTCGTTTTTTTCTTTATTCTGGAAAAAGAGCCAAATTTGAGTCCTCTGGAATCACAGTAAGTCTTTTTAAAAAAATAGATGAAGGCTTGAAATGAATCACAGCTGTCAAACCTATTAATGTATTGGTGTATGTTGCTCTGTTTTAGACATGTGAGCAAAATTAATGAGGGTCATTAACGTGCTAATCAAAACAGAAGACCACCCCGATGGTTCCCTGCAGTGGTCTATTCTCTCTAACACACAGGCCTGGATATAAATATGTGTGTAAAACCTCAGAGGTGATACGATTATAATAAAAAAAAGGGGCCAGAATGCTAAATGAGCATCATGTAGGAAAAGGACGTGTGCTTATAATGTGTTGAATAAACACACAAGCTTGTTGGTGAATTTGTGTGTGTCCAGAATAAAATAAAACAAAAACACACACTGTGCTATATTTCTTAGTGTGCAAGGGTCTGTTTGTTCTGGGTTTAGGGCCCAGTTTCTGTCACAGATCGACTCAGGCTTGGTCTTGCCTGTTGGTATTTTCTTCCAGCAGATATCTCCAGAGAGAAATCAATCTATGTCCAGAAAATGGCCTAATCAGGATTTAGAGGAGAGGAAACAGATTCTTACACTTTACAGGCAGTCTGGGGTTGTAGGGTTTGTGGTACTACAGGGGGATGGAGCACCAGACACGTTTGCATTGACACAACTGAACAAACTAATCACTCTTGATAGCTTCACAGTGTTTTATAGGGGCACATATGAGGGTTCACGGGAAAAGGAGACTAAGGTGAACTGCCAGAAATAATTCACTTCCTTGCGGAGGTTCACGGAAGAGGAGGTTGTAATGGTGCAAAGGGATTGCCAGGTGTCTGGAAATACACGCCACACTGAAGGTGACTCTATGTTGTGCACACAACACGTGGTGCAAACATAGGGACAAACCTTGGTTCTCCTGGCATCCAGCAGCTGCAGAGCATGGGCAGAGTGAACAGAAAAACAAATGTATGGTAAAAACAGAGCGTTAGAGCATGATGCAACAGAGACGGATGATCAACACAAACTGGCCGGAGATTTAAAATGAGAGAGATGCCCATCAGTCTGTCCAGCTGTTTATCAGCCTTCAGCACTCGATCATATTCACAATATACCGACAGAGAAAATATGAATTGTTGAGATTACCTTTCTGGAAAGAGATGAAGTAAAGGTTTTACAATGTTTCCAATCAACCACCATGATCTAACATTTACCGATCTTAGATGTATTTGACAGGTCTAATATTGCTATTATTAGTAGCAGCATCAATATTAGTAGTTAGGTTTTTTTTTTTCCTGTCATCAACAACAACCACATAACACATGTTCCAATATTAACAGTAGGGCTGTCACTTTAATTTTGACCAACCGACTACTGGTGCTTTAACAAAATATTTACACGTTTGATTTTTGATAAATAATCATCAGTAATGTAGATATAATGGCTATGTGGGTAAAAGCAAAAAATAAAACAGGTATAACAGTCTGGTAACTTAAAAAAATACATCACTTTATTGTAATGCAGCCTTTAAACCAGGAAAAGACAACAGTTACGATACTATGGTATCCATAATCTAAAATGATATCTAGTCTCATATTACACATCAATATAATATGGATGAATTGCCCAGCCCTAAATCACAGTGCTAGTAAAGTAGTAGCAATAGTGTAGAAGTGATCTTATACTGATGATGTGAAGTATTACTAGTGTTGAAATTAATTAGTAGTGGAGCAGAAACATTAATCAATTCATTGATTAATCCGTTAATTTACCGTAAATTAATCCGCCACTTCTTTTAGAACTGATTAATCACTTATAAACAATGCTAAAAAGTGCATTGTCTATTACCAGCTTCTCTAAAATAAATATTTTCTTCTTTTTTTTTGATCTTATGTGACTTTGAATTGAATATCTTTTGGTTCTGAATTATTGGTCTGCCCAAACAAGACATTTAAAGATGTCACCTTGAGCTCCAGAAAATTGTGATGACAATTTTCTGACATTTACAGACCAAACAATAAATCGAGCAAACAACTGACAGATTTATCTATAATTAAAATAGTCATTAGCTGCAGCTCTGAGTTATTGACACTATTAAGACAGCAGGATGAAAAAAAATGCAATCATCTTTAAGCATAACTAAAGGACAAATATCAAAGTGGAAAAACAAATTAGTTTTTGATTGGTCTTTTATTTCTTGCTGGCTCATTTCCACAGTACAGAGCAGACAGGACACTGTGAGCATGTGAAGCATGTGCTCTTCCAGCCATCAGGGGGCAGTGTTTGTGCTAGTTGACGGAGCTGGTGAATTTTTCTGCTGACTGCAGGACTGCTGCCATCTTCAACAGTTTTGGTCACACTGCCTTATGTGAGTCAGTGCCATTTGGTCTGGCAACAGAATCCACCTAATACATCTCAGATTGTCAATTTCACACTGAGTGCAGTCTCATTCATTTACATGCTGACAGTTGTAATATCAACACTTGGAGCTGTAATTTACAATCTGGACACTGTCCAAACCTGAGTGATATTCTTTTAGGATAGATGCCTGATAGAGATTATTTTGTCCTGAAGCTGCTGATTGACAATATTTTATGCAATTTCAATAGCTTTATATATGACCACATAAGTATTTCTTCTTTTAACAGAGAGCTGTATTCTGTTCAGGGTGTAAAAACCTCTGCAGCAGCATTTTACATTGAGGAGGCTGCTCACTGTTTGACTTGTTCCTGAGACCTGACACCTCTTAACACTCACAAGTGCATCAATACTAGTGTGCAAAGTCATCCAGTTGGCCATGTTGGACCCTTTTGCAAGCTGGTTCTGGCCGACAGGCCGGGTGTTTGACACCCCCGCCTTAGAGAGAGTCTCTTCAAATATTGGCTTGCTGCTGCCCTGCTTGTACTAGATGCATTTAATAAGGCACAGAGCAACATTCAAACAGATGAAACAAAACCTTTTACTCTCTCCTCATAACTTCTCTCTCTAACCTCACCTGACACCGCTCCCTCTCCCTCTCCCTCTCCCCTTCTCATCAGTGCTCCCTCTCTCTGCTCTGATCAATAGCCTGCCGTCTTGGAACTAAACTGCAGGAGGCATCCCAGTAATTCCATTTGCATAATTGCACTGTGGGTTAAAACGACTGTATGGCCGTTTCTCCCAACGTCTACAGCAGTACTGTACCAGTTCCTGTGAGTCAGTCATGACTCAGCGGATACTGGCGTTGTGGTCATCCTGCCTCAAGAGAAGGCTTCTCTTTCGCTGCATATCCTAAAAAAATGAGCTTCCAGAGGTTTCACAGAGTCAAGTGAAAGATGTTGAGCTACAGTGCTGCGCTCTCTAACTGACACCTGGGGCAGCCAGGGGTAACTGGCTGTCATAAATCCTTTTGTGCAGAAACACAAAATCCTTCTGAGAGCTACAATAGACAAGAAATTGGATTCAGTCATTTTCCCCCAAAAAACCTCTCTCAAAATGCCAAAAGCTGTATGTGCTTACACGTCGGTTAAGTATACTGTTGATTTGAATTTTCACAGTGCTTGTTTTGGAGAATGGGTGAAAGTGTTAATTAACAAGACTGAGGATGCAGTCGAATAGTCAGTTTCCTTTCCTACACACTTTTCCTTGACCTAATTAGAAAACATCATGACGTCATGGAGAGATGTAACAGTGAATTCATAAGGAAAAGACAACCAAGGTTAAAAAAAATCTGACTGTACTTACAATAGGCTCTTTAATTATGCAGTGGTGGATGTTTTTGATGTGGATCTGCTGTGGTGAAGCTAATCAGTTTACTTTTAAAACCTGATGATTTTTATGACTTGTCTCTATAAATTAATATTATCATTATTAGAGACACCATGTGTTTTTATCGTGTTGTTATATGCAGGTTATATAAATGTGGACAACCCAGTGAAATGGCCAAATGGTGCATTAATGTAAATGTGGCTGCTGCAAAGAATTGTGGGCCAGCATTATCTCCTTTCCCCTACATAAAGGATGGTCCAGTGTACCCTATGCTAAAGGAGATAAGAAAAGAAGCACTGAAGCACCTTTCCTTAGCATTTAGAGAATTCAACCAGCTCTTATCAGGACTGCCACTTAGATACTTCCAGGTCATTTCACTCAGTTAGGAGCCTTGCAAAACAGAAAACACTATTTGACCGCAGCCTAAAGGCTCGGACATACTTTTCCCATTGAACGTCCGCAAACAGCAACCGTCACGTGGACGTACATGCAGTTCTATTCACAGAACATTTGAGGGTCCAGCAGTAAACAGGAGGGCCGAGAGGTGAGCTTGCGGTCAACTGCCGATTTTGGGTCAAAGTAAAGCTAAAAAGACGCTGCTGAGTCTGGAGTGGATTGCTGTTGAGTATCCAACTTAAAACGAACTTCAACGTGTTGAGGTGGCTCTGGCTGGCTGGCTTGACAGCAGTGTTTTGGACTGGACTGGAGTGTGGAACAGGAGACTGGTGCATTCCCAGTCAGCGTGCTTGCTACGTGTACAGTCTGTCTAGTTGCAAAAAAATGGGCTGCACATGGACGTCCACATAGAGGTCTGTGTGGAATGTTATCTTGGACCAAATAACCGGACAACTGACCTGATTATGGTGCTAGATAAAAAGTCAGGGGATCACTACAGTTACTACAGTTGTTCCTGAGGGAAACATAAACGTCTGCACCAAAATTCCTGAGAACTCACTCAAT